TGCAGAGTTGATTACCAAATGTTTCTAGCTAACTCTAGAATAAATCATTTCTATTTCTTTTCTAAATGTGTTTTTCTTTTCAAAAAACAATTAGAAGAATTACAATTAATTAGGTTTTTAGTTGAGATAAAAAAGTCAATGGCACGAGCGGGATTCGAACCCACGATCTTCGGCTAGATACTCCGCTGCTCTACCACTTGAACTATCGTGACCTCGATCTAACAACCTTAATTAATTGTAATATATTAACTGGTCAAGCGGACCATGAAATTAGTGAATTTAATGATTTAAAAAGAAGTATACTTCACTAAAGCTCTACGTGGCCATTTCATTTGTCGTCGAGAATCCAATCCGATTACAAGACATTTGAAAAATGGCAAAAAAAAGGTGGGGTTCAGATGGGAAGTGGTGTCCGAGTGGATCGAGGTCACGATAGCTCAAGTGGTAGAGCAGCGGTGTATCTAGCCGAAGGTCGTGGGTTCGAATCCCGCTCGTGCCATTGACTTTTTTATCTCAACTAAAAACCTTAATTAATTGTAATATATTAATTGGTCAAACGGACCACGAAACTAGTGAATTTAATTAGAAGAATGATATTTTATTTTTTCTTGGAAGATAGAGAGAATTTGGTATTTGTGTTTTCAAAAACAATGTGTGTTTTGCTATCTTTTTCTTTTCTTTTTTCTTTTTTTACGAGGGTTCGCAACAGCAGAGGTCATATCAACCCTCAGGGCGCCGGTGTTTTTGAAAAAAAGCCCATTTGTAAGCATGTCGAGTTCGAATCCAGCGGCCCTGCATTCGAACCCGGGACCTTTACCTTACAGTGGTGAGCGCCGTGTCAACGCCTAAACCGTTGCGGCCACCGACACCCCGTTTTGCTATCTTAATACTAATGTTTATCTGTATGAAAATTAAGTTGTAGCATTTTTTAAATTTAAATTTTACTATATTTTTCTCTTTTTTTTCAATTTCATATTATTAAGAAAAAATCCAGGTTCACTTATTTTCTATTGTGATACATATTACCCAATTAATTATAAATTAAACATTTCTAAATGATAAACTATAAAATGTTATTTTATATGCCACAAGCATCTATTCATGAATTATGAAAAGCTAGTGCCACGAGCGGGATTCGAACCCACGACCTTCGGCTAAATAGCCGCTGCTCAAGTGGTAGAGCCGAATCCGACTCGTGGCACTAGCTTTTTCATTTCAACCAAAAACCTTACATAAAAAGAATAATTGAAAGAAGTAATTTGGTGAATAGACCACTAAATATAATGGATTCTATAATAAATATTGAAAACCATGAGGAAAGCGAAGGACTGTTGGAGCCTAGTCTCAAATTCCAACATAGGCCAATCTAATATAAAAACCAAAATTTAAAAACAGAGAATAACCTCTTCAAAAGATTACAAATTGAATACGATTTTATACAATGTAATGACGATAACATTAACAAAAATAATTGAAAATATTTCAAAAATGAAAATATAAACCAAATTTATTCTAAAATAATAAATCCTTAGAAAACAGCACTTATACCCAGTGGGATATATATTTAGGATTATCCTTAAAACGTCAAAGTCCTCCAAGAAGGCCAACTTTAAGTCCTTACAAAATTTCATCTCGAATTCAGTTTTACTTAATGTAAAAAGAAAGCTTTGTAGCTTAAGATACATTTCCTCTATGACCATTTTTATGTTGAAATCTGATTTTAGAAAATGATGAGAGACTTAAGTTTTTATTTTTATGTTGTACGCAACACTTACTAGACATTTTTTTATCTATTTTTAAATACAAACAAAAATTATAAAAGGTATCTAAAATAACTATTATATGATGATTAAAATGATTAAAAAGTAATAAATTTTAAAAACTTTCTCAAAAACTAATAAACCGATTAAAATAAAAATGGTAAGAATTAAAATTGATACGAATTAATTTTCTTGTCCTTTTGTAACATTATAACTTTTCTTTCTTATTACATTTTGTAATACTCGTGTTCTCATTTTTATTTTCCTAATATGTTTAGTTGCACAACTATCTATACATAATGATTTTTGTTTAGGAAGTAAAAAACATTATTAAAGGGCACGTTGAACAGAGATAATCCCTGGAATGAAATAAACCGTTTAAATCATTACATTGTCCTTCTATTTATAATGATACGCTTCAGTATGATATACGAATGAATGTAATTTTGATTTGAAAAGAATTTATGATTTATGTTGTATTAAATAGGAAAGGACAATTTTTTGTAAATCCCATTACGAAGGCTAAGTTGTCTGTAATGCGTGGAGTCATGTTTCCAAAAGGCCTTTGTCCACTTCCATTTTGGTTCTTACTCGATTTTTCTTGTTCCGACATACGCCTATATCCAAGTGGTTCTTACAGACGATTCGTTTCCATCCGTCACCCTTCCTGTGAGAGATGGTCTGCTTTTCGTTTAACGACGTCAAATGTTGTTTTACAGAGCTTGACACGTTTATTTATCTTTAATGGCATAGTGTCATTTGACTTTTCGTAACATTTATTGAACAAAGCTAGAAAGAGACATTATTAACCTATATTTAATAATAATAAGTTTTATTTACATTATTTATACAAATGTATAAAATAAAGTAGAGGTTTCAGGCTGTCGCCTATATAAACCCTGATATTATTTACTAAGTAATGTTTAGAAAAAACTTAAAGAAATTTGGGAAGAAAAGAAAAAAAATACCTGAACTAAAAGATGAAATTATAATGTGCTTCATTATATTATGTTTATAGGTTTTTTAATTCAGAGAGCGATATATTTTAATTATTTATCTTATTAATCTCATTTATTTCAATTAATTATTCTTTTTATCTACGATTTTTTGTTTAGACGAAAAATTAGTGCCACGAGAGGGATTCGAACCCACGACCTTCGGCTAAATTTTCGGGTAGGGTTGGAATACCGATCAATTGTTGTATCGTTTAAAAGATTTTGTTTTGAGTGAAACTATCAAAACGCGTATTTCTGAGATTAAAATGTGAGTTGAAAAATGAGCCAATTTTTTCACACTGAGTTGTAACAAATATAGCGAAAGTCCTTCTTTACACTTTTTCAAATTTTATTTAAAGTACATTTATTTGATACTTACAACTTCAAATATTAAGTTAATATGTTTCATATATGTTGACTTTGTCATTTGGGTCCCTTGTAGGAGAAGTTGCTCACTGGCAACACTCCTTCACACTGAAACCTTTTCAATCTTCACTCAATGAAGTCTCGGGTCCACTTTTGCTTCAATCGTCCTGGAGGATTTTCGGATAGGGTTGGAAGTGATAACTGCCGTACTAGATAATTGGGTGCGTTCAGTGATTGATGGAGTTTTTTATAGAGGGTTTTGATGAGTCCATGCACAAACGGGTTGTCTATGTCGTCATTAATAGTGTAATTTGAAACTTAAAAGGAGCATTTATAATTTATGTTCTATTTTTCGTTTGTATTCTTATTTGATAAAATTGGACTCTTATTTAAACTTCGTACTGTAATGTAAGGTACTAGCTGAAATGAAAAAGTCAGTGTCAAGAGCGGGATTCGAACCCACGACCTTCCGCTGAATACGCCCCTGCTGATAAACTTGAGTTGTCGTGACTTCGATTCAGTCGGACACTGACGCCCCATCTCAACCCACCTTTCGAAATTTCCCTCCTTTTTATCGTTTTTCAGTGGATCAAAAGCCCACGAAGTAACGAAACTTCGGTGGTAGAGCAGCGGCGTATTTAGCCGAAGGTCGCGAGGTTGAATCCCGCTCGTGACACTGCCTTTTTAATCTCAACCAAAAAAACCATACATAAAAAAAAATAAACAATTGCAAGACGTAAGTTTGTCAATTGACCACTAAAACATAAATGGATTAATCTGATTTATGTTGTGATTAGGTTTGTCATATGATTTCACAAAATTTCCTCTCACCCAGTAAATGGATACGCATCCTAAGGATATAATCAATAACGTCCATCTGTGAAATGCACCCACTATTCTTAGACATTTATTCTGCGCAATTTGGAGTTAGCTATAATTGGTTTTTAAATGCTTTTGATCTAACGTGGCTGGCGTAAGTTAAAATGAAAGTTATGTAGAGAAGGGAGATGAGTTTTTTATTATTAGGAATTCAGCTAGATTTTTATTTAATAACGAGAATAATTTGTGATGCCCTCGAACGGTTTTGACACAGACGAGGTTGATGTGGTGGGTAAAACTCGGTTTGGAGTCCAGCAGCAATCCGAAATATTTTATGGAGTATGTTATGAACATGTTATTTGAAAATTATTGACATTTATGTTACAAAAAAATTTATACTTCGTCTTTTCAATTTCAATTTTTCAATTTATTTCATAGTAACAATGTTGTGATTTAGATTTCATGGTTAGTCCTAGAGTGAAAATAAAAGAGGATTTCCACGATTAGAGTAGGAGAGTCAGTCGAGAAATGACAGTCCATTAATGTAGATGAGGGACAGAAAAAAGTGTGAGATCCTAGAAAAGAGTTTAAAAAGTGTTGGCATCCCTAAAAAAGGGTGCTTAGGTCCACAGCGGACTATAAATAGTGAGTACCCATCCGCCCTTGTTCCAAATGGTTTGGCAAACGGTTTGCATGAAATTCTTGTTTATTTAAATTAAAACAAAATTTTAATTGTTTGTTTTAAAATTAAATTTTTTTTGATAATTGTTATTTTCTTAGGTTGTTGTTTGTTAGATTGTTTTATTAATAGATTGTTTTAAAACTTGAATTAAATTTTATTACAAAAAGGCACCGGATCGGTTTTTACTCAGGTTCGAACAAGTCTTCGTGGGCTTTTAATAAACAGGATTCAGAGATGTGCTCGTCTTTTTGAATCAAGAAGAGACCGTACCATATATTTTTAAGTAAGTTTGTAATTGATTGATCGCCAAGTAATTCGTTTTTTGTTTAAATTGTGCTTTATTTTTACTTCATTAATTAACAAAATATAGAATTTTACCTGATATTGGCTGCAGTTGAAGCAGTGCCAGCAGCAGCTTTCGCCTTCGACGTACGTTTTCGCCTGTCCAACTTCGCAAGGCAGTGAACAAACGGACTCCGGTAAAACAGAAGAGTGCCCAAGTTTAAATTGAATTTCTGAAAACAAAGCCAATTATAATAATTTAAATTTTACCTCGGTTCTATCCCGGAGGAAGAGGTATACTATGAATGGAATCCATGCAGTTTATCCATTATTATAATACTTAATTAGGCTTGAATATCGGTATGTTTTTAGTATACTAACAAGCTTATAATATTTACAATAAGAAAACAATAGCTTTTATACTTTTTTAAACGTTCATTTAGTACTGATATAGAGCAAGTCTTTTAAGAAAATTCCCCAAGGCTTTTTAATGAGAACCAGCTTGTTTAAAAGGTAAATGGGTTTTTCGTGAACATTTTCCCATCAACATCGACAATAATGTTTTTCAGGAGGTATGGTACACAAATGGAGATATGCTAAAGAGCCCCGCCACTTTCCCTCAAAAATACATATGTACGCAAATTTCTTATTGTTAGAAAATATCTCGTCAAATAAATAAATAAAATCTATCGAATATCCAGCTTGTTTATTTACTACTTTTTTTCTTGTAATTAAATAAGTTAGGTTATGTAGTATCTTCGAGAAGTAAGCACTAATTTTTCGTGCGTAAATCCTTTTATGTAGAACTGGAATTTTTAAGTAGTTGTTCAAGTTCGCCAGCCATCTTTTTTCCGAGACCGTCCACAATATAGTTTTCACAAGACAATTAATCCTTTGATAAACTTTTTGTTTTTAACTTCGTCAACTATTGTTAATTTTGAAAGAATTTTTCTTTTTTAACGTTGCCTTAAAGAAATGGTTTTACCTGATGACTTGGAAAGTGTGGCAATGAGATTTTTTTAAATAAGTGAAATTTTTAAATTTCTTATGAAATTATATATGTTGTGTTATGTTCTTATATATGTTCTTATTACGAATAATTATTACTAAGTTCTTAAATTTTGACTTTGCATACGTTTTAGTGCTGGCTTGAAAACTAATTTATCTACACATGCTAAAAAGTATATTTTAGAAAAATCAAAAATTCTCGTTTTTAACTGGATGAATAGTGGACAAATATCGTTTACTTAAACTTAGAACAATTGTCACATGCGGAGTGTCGTTGTTATTTTTATTTTATTTTTTGAGGGGTTGGGGTTTGGCACCTTTGCATCTGCATATTTCAGAAGATTGAAAACTCGCGAAAGTAAATAATATAAAAAAGAAAACTGCAGATTTCACATATTCACCAATACATAAAGAGTCGCAAAGGGTTGAAAAAGTCCAAACTGGTATCTTCCTCCTATAATACTATTGTCCAGTCACAATTTATAAATCTTCAAGGGGAAACATTGCAATAACAAGGTATAGTATCTATGAATGATCTTAGATAGAAAACTGGTATGAGACAAACATATTTGGCAAATTACAGCGTGTACGGTACAGAGTTAGTCAGTTGCACTATCTCTTGAATTCGAAGTCTAAAGTGCCTCTGGACGCACGCCAAATTTACCTGGCAATTATTTGATGAAGATTTGAGTCTCGGCGAGTAAATCGCAAGCCAAGATAGTACAAACGTGCAAATTCAGATATTGGGACAGAACACCGGCACTTGATATGTAAAAACTCCACCTTGCATGACAACCTAGACATACCACTGGCAGCTGTTGTCACCCAGAATTGCTTCTACCAGTACAATCGCTCACCATGACTCACCCAAACCCTCTTCTACGCGACATCCCTGCTCATCCTACGTCACCACGAGGCGTCAGACGCGTGAAAAGAATATGACTTGGGGAACAAGATCAGTAGAATTTGTCAGGCAAACAAAAACTAGTCCGTCGTTCGATCTCGTGCTGAATTTTTATTGCTTACTAAAAATTAATTCAATATTTTATATTTATACACAAATTTGTTCACTAGTTATTTATTTTATATTTATCTATTCATTGTACGTATTACATTATATAAACAATATTATTAAATGAAACTTGGTGTGTTTAATGTATATAACATACAATTGAGTACTGTCAGTAGATAGTACCCCGAAGTCAAATCACATGTGAATTAGGGCAACCCAATAGGAATTCCAAACTAAAACGTAATGTATGTTATTATAAAGTTTAAATAATAAAATAAACGTCATGGCTGAAGATGTCAAAGAAGAATAGGAAAATCTATGGGACAAACCGACATCATTAAGTGATCAAAAATAAACAAGCCTTCACTGATTAATAATTTCACGTGTTAATTAATTTGGTCGCCAGTTTTGCATTGTATGCATACGTTTTTGTTTTGTTACAAGTGTCGTAAAGTTATAATTGTAACTATTATGTTAATATTTTTCCTTTAGCAACAATATAAAAAAATGATTTTGCGAATAAAGTCGGTTCAAATTTATGGTTTAATATTATATAAAAAATATTTTTCACTTTTTTTTACCATTGATTTAAACTTGCCTACATGATGTACTGAATCTGTAGGCAGACTTTTTTAAAAATTAATGTAATTACAGAATATGTGTCAAGAAAACGTCGTGAAAGTGTTACAAAAATAAAGTTGACTATTTCTTGAAGTTTCGCGGTGCAAGTTCATAGAAAAAACACGCAACCAGGAAGAAGGGCAGAAATGAATAAAACACTTATATAGACAAGAATACTTTCGAAAATTTCGTTTCAATGTTAACCATATGGCTATGGATGCAACACTTCAGCAAGACAGATTGTTGGTAACCTATTATTGTATTTTCTTTAGTAGGCAAAAAAATTGTGTGTAGAGAGAGAGAGAGAGAGAGAGAGAGAGAGAGAGAGAGAGAGAGAGAGAGAGAGAGAGAGAGANAGAGAGAGAACGAAAGAAAGAAAGAGAGAGAGAAATAAAGAAAGAGAAAGAGAGAGAGAGATAAAGAAAGAGAAAGGGAGTGAGAAAAATAGAGAGAGAGAGGGAGTGAGAGAGAGAGAGAGAGAGAGAGAGAGAGAGAGAGAGAGAGAGAGAGAGTCGGAGAAAATATATAGAAAGATAGATAAATATTTTAAATCATGTATGACATGTATAAAAAAGTAAACAGAAGAGAGATAGTGAGTGAAGGAGAGAGAGAGAGTGAGAGTGTGTGAGGGAGGGAGGACGAGAAACTGCTGAGGGAGATATGAAAAAATCGTCCGAGAGAAAATTTGAGTCGGAGAAAATATATAGAAAGATAGGTAAATATTTTAAATCATGTATATGTATAAAGATATAAAGAAAAAAAGAGAGATAGTGAGTGAAGGAGAGAGAGAGAGAGAGAAAGAGAGAGAGAGAGTGAGAGAGAGAGAGAGAGAGAGAGAGAGAGAGAGAGAGAGAGTAGTTTTAACGAACTATTGGATTTTTAAGAATGCCCGGATTGTTTAATGTTAATAAATTGTTTAATGGTAATTTTTTCTTAAAATTAATAACAAGATTTAGAATGACCAAAGCGATATACTTTTTTAACTTATTGCATTTTTTAGTCAAATCCGAAAAGATTGCGTGCGAAAGAATGTCTCTTTATGTGTGCGGTTCATGATTCTCGTAATTTTAGCTTCTTCGAAAAATTTAGCTTTTTAACGTCTGTTTAATTTTGACTTCCGTTCACAACTAAACAGGCATCGTAATTTAGCACGCTATGTATTGCTTATATTTAATCCTTCTCGGCTTTTCAGGTAGTACGGCATTTTTCCAAACTGGAAGAATACAAATTCCCTTGACCTGAAAATCCACGGAGCAATATAAATGGGATATAATCACTGGCTGTACAATCGTCCAATGGTTTGGGCGAGAATATATAAGCCCTATGTCTTATCATTTGCTCTTCTAATGACAGGGCATTAAGGTAGCTGCCAAAGGCTTAACCGGCCTTCATTAACTTTCCCCGAAAGCTCTGTATTCATTCCGTTTCCGTTCTTAAACGACCCGTTTATTAATAATATAGAACAATTTGTTTAGACAAATTATCGCTTCTTCCGGCTTGGAGGTTTTCAATCTGACCGTTTACTCTACTTTCGATTTCAAAAATAAACATTCCTGTTCTCTCCGATTAAAATAAACAATCCAACTGGATTAAATCTAATTTACTCAGGTTTGATGCACAAATTTGTAATCTTTAAGAGTTTTAATGAGTTTAGTTTACGAATTAAAGATCTATTTATGCTTAAATTAAGAACGCAAAGGTTTCCCCATTACGTTTTACGACGATTCATTTTTTTTCCATCTTAACTAATTATAAATTAAGTCGAGAACAAATATATCAAAGGGTTCGATTAAAAATTATTTTCATTGGGATCTTTTAAAAACAGAATAAAGTTCTATACAAATTAACACTAAATAAAATAAATTTAACAAAACGTGTACAGAACCGCCTGCTTTCGGTAAGTAAAAACTTGTATTTGTTAACAGGAGGCCTGGTTCTGTACACTATAATTATAAAACGAAAAAATACACTTATTCATAAACAAAAACTCAAAAATGTTTCAATAAAATTATACTGTTGTATAATTTTATTATTACTGATTTTATAAAGGATGTAAGGTTACTATAACTGTTGTAATTAACTTTATTTTTATGCAAAAATTTCAATAAAAATTAAGTGAAAATTTAGAGTAAGCGGTAGTTTTAACTTTCGGCATCTGACATATATGCAAATTTCTGGAGATTAATAAAGTATTATGGGTACGATTTTAATGTATTTAATGAAGCGAATACAAGATTTTTTAGATTATTTTTTAGGTTTTTTTATAAATTATTTTTTTAGATAGACAATTTTTGTTATTATATATATAATAAAATCGATCATATAAATTTCACCAAGACAAATATTTTATTGTCACTTTGACTATTTTTGATGTAATCAATATCAGCTGTCAATATTTTAATGTTATGTTAAAAAATCATTGCTAAAGCAGTTTTAAAAAAACGCACGAGCTTTCCAGGAATGTATTTTCTTCATCAGGACTTAGAAAGTTTAATTAAAAATATGAAAGGTTAACAAATATGAACACCTATTTATAACATTAAAACCCATAGTTTCTCTAAAGAAGTTCTACGTAACGTTCAAATTTATAACCGGGGTAGCCGAGTGGTTAAGACGTGTTTTTTGCCACGAAGACGTCCTCGTTCGTGGGTTCGATTCCTAAACATTAGAATCTTTGACCTCTCACTCTCCACTCAAAAAATATTTAACGTAACAAACAATGTACGGAAAACATAATATTAAACAAAATATTTAGTAAAAATCGGACTTTGATATGGCCGGGCGATATTTCATAATTAATAGAATTTCTGGTATTCTATTACTCACTATTTTTTGGCCCTTCCATATGTGGTGAAAAAGCTTTGCATCTCATGTACATCCGTACATAAAATTATTTTTGCCTAACGAAAGTTTCACGGCTACCAATGTACTAGGATAGCTGAGGATAAGCAATAATTCATAATAAATATGTTCACCATAAAAAATACATTCACCAGAAACTTTTATATTATATGTACAATTAAAAATTTGGGATGCACAGGAGTTTACGCCGGTATCTCGCCAACAATATCCCCCAAACAAGTATCCATCCATATCCTAACCTAGGTTCATGGTTCCGGATACTGAATATTTCGCCACAGACCTATACCCACACATACAGAATCATTTAATCTCATAAATATATTCATGTACAGATAAAATTCGGGGAGTAACTGGGGTATTCGATTTCTCCAGTGCCTCCTAGCTAAACACAATTTTACCCTAAAAGGTCGCCAAATTTTGAGTGTCAGTGAGGTACTATATATTCCGCCGCCACCTCACCCACACATACTCACACTTTCTCGCTAATAAATACATTTATTCAGGACGATACAATTACTGACCTAGTGGGTCTCTGTGTGTAACTTTATTCGGCCACAAACGCACCTTTTCACTCAAACTCGAACGCAAATAAATACATTCATCGTAAATGGGAAAAACTACGCCTGGAAAGTTATCAAATGTGATCATATGCGCTTCAGGTTACGATCAAATATTTCTTGTTATATTGCGTCTCTGAATATATTTGAATTTCATTGACAAGCCACACCTTGTCCTGTAAGGCACCAAATTTTCGCGCTCTAAAAAGAATTGTTTTATAGATAATTGGGCAACGTACAAAGATCATCTTTTGTTAATTAGAAGATGTCCATGCGTTGGTTTGGTATGGCCAATTCGTAATAGGGTCACCTTTATCCTATTGTTTTCCATGTTCCAGGGTTTGACCGACTGTTTTACCTCTTTTGTCTGTAATTTCAGCGGTTTTAGCAATTTAGTCGTCATTCAGCAGTCATACGACATTAATAACAATTTCAGATTCATGATAGAGAGAGAAGTTAATCCTCGAAAGCTCGACGTAGAAACTGAGTATTTCTTTTTTTCAAATTATCTCTGATTTTTAAATACAAAATTACAATTTATTTCAAATAATTTTTCTTTCTATGTTAGGTCTTGGTTTGGATAAAAAAGTCAGTGTGACGAGCGGGTTTTGAACCCACGACCTTCGGCAAAATACACCGCTGCTCTACCACTTGACCTATCGTGACTTCGATCCTCTCGGATACCAACCTAAGTAATAACAATTAATTAAGGTTTTTAGTTGAGATAAAACAGTCAATGACACGAGCGGGATACCAACCCACGATCTTCGGCTTGATACGCCGCGTGACCTCGATCCACTCAGACACCAACTTCCCATCTCAACCACACCTTTTAAATTTTCCCTCCTTTTTGCCATTTTTCAAATGAAGTACACTTCACTAAAGCTCTCCGTCGCCATTTCAATTGTCGTCGAGAATCCAAACCGATTACACGAGATTTGAAAAATGGCAAAAAGGAGGGAAAACTCATAAGGTGGGGTTGAGATGGGAAGTTGATGTCCGAATGGATCGAGGTCACGCGGCGTATCAAGCCGAAAATCGTGGGTTCGAATCCCGCACGTGCCATTGACTTTTTTTTATCTCAACTAAAAACTTTAATTAATTGTAATTTATTAATTGGTCAAGCGGACCACGAAATTAGTGAATCTAAGTAATAACCTGAACTAAAAGATGAAATTACAGTAAGATGTGCTTCATTATATTATGTTTATGATTTTCTATGTAAGGTTATGTATGATGTATTATGTATGATTCTATGTAAGGTCTCGGTTTGGATAAAAAAGTCAGTGTGACGAGCGGGTTTCGAACCCACGACCTTCGGCTAAATACGCCGTTGCTCTTCCACTTGAGCCATCGTAAGTTCGATCCCCTCGGACACTAACTTCCCATCTCAACCTACCTTTCGAATTTTCCTTCCTTTTTGCCATTTTTCAGTGGATCGAAGTTACGATAGATCAAGTGGTAGAGCAGCGGTGTATTTAGAAGAAGGTCGTGGGTTCGAATCCCGCTCGTGACACTGACTTTCGTATCTCAACCAATACCTCACTACAAAGAATAATTAATTGAAAAAAGTAACTTGGCCAATTGACCACTAAAACGTGAATGGATTACAATTTATGCTTTAACACAATTTTATTATTGTATTATTTTAATACGCGGCAAGTCTTTATTATTAAGAGAATTTTTATATTAAATAAAATACGCAATTTCAATAGTTAAACAAAGTGCTAATGTGGTTAAATTCAGGTTCTCGGATTTTTCTAAAGTTTTTCACCATCAATCAGCCAAGAAAGGAACACTTACCAGTTTCGTTCATTCTCAGCTCTCCTTCGACGTATTCACCGACCGGGACCCATTGATAATTCCCAGGTGTGTTTTGTTTGAAATGAATAATGTTGTACCTGGCAGGGCCGTCTCCGTTGGCGTCGAACCGGAATTCATCACCGGACAGGCCTAAAAAAAAAAAAAAATCCAAACGGATTTTGATATTTTAATAAAAACTGATCATGCAAAGAATGTTTATAGTGAATATTATGTAACCATTGACTGCTGGCCTATTAAGTATTGACTGCTGTGGCACCAAATATCGACATTTTTTAATCAATTCTAATGCTTTCCATTAAGTGGATGAGGCTTTCCTTTACCTTTACATTTACCTGCATGGTACATAACAATAAGTAGATAGTTACAAATATGGGTATAATTTAGAGTAAATTATGGGTTTATCGGACGTTATTCCTTTTTTTAAATTATATCTGTTTGCGAAACTTTTGCGATTTAAACTGGATTTTTTAATAAAATATATTTTAATTTTGTTAATATTAGTATTTACCGTACGATGGCTACGTTTTATATCTTGGTATATCCGCCTAGATATGATTTATCCTCAAAATTATTCCTTAATTTTTTTTTTAAAAGCGAAGATTTTTCCCTTAAAATGCAGAGTGCCGGTGATGACCATTTGATGTTTGTCAGTCCATAAATAATACATGTACGTACATATTCAGGTAAATACGACTAATTGAAACCTACATCACACCAGACCGCATCTCACGATTTCTGAATAACTATACACAACGGTCAAAACATTTTACAACCCCTCCAAATTCACACACACACACACACACACACACACACACACACACACACACACACACACACACACACACACAAAGCACAACATAATAAAACACTTTCAAGGTCACAATTCAATGTCAACTCAATACCGAGCAACAAAAATTATTCCCCTTTCGCCGATAAAATTTTCCAACATCATGCGTAGCCTATCCTCGATGAAATCTGCGACAATCTTATTCTAATGCACGATAATGTCCGTCCACATTTTCTTGGGATAGTACAGACTTGCCTTCAACAGCATAACAACAGGGTCTTAGCCTGGCCAGCCCGTTCACCCGTTCTCCAGTATTCAACTCTATCGAACACTTATGGGATAACCTCAAAAGAAAATAAAAGCACGTTCAACACTTCCCGATACAATCCACGATCTTGAAAAGACTCTTCTTGAAGAATGGCGTCATAAGGGAAGCTATCAAATACATTAAACAGACAAAACCAGCCAAGACCATAATTTGTTCGGGCAGCCATAGTGTTTTGACGGCCCTGAAGAAAACATACTCCTGAAGATCCCATTATTCTAGAGATCAAAAACATTTTGTTAGCCTGCGGAAGCGGTATAACTACTCATCTTCTCTGGGTCAAAGGCCATAACAACAACCGATTTAACCAGCGGGTTGATGCATTGGCAAAAGCGGCTGCTCTATCGGGAAACGACATCAAAGAGATCTCAGCCGGTGACATTGTATCGCATAATAGGGTCTTATTACGCAAGAAATGGCAAAGCGAGTACGAACAATCATCCAAAAGCAAAGGCATCTGGTACTCTGCCNACCGCATCTCACGATTTCTGAATAATTATCGATTAACGGTCACTAATCACCACACATTTCTTTTTGATATTCAATAATTATAAGTTTTTAATTCGTTATTTTTGATCTTTCTATTTTTATTATTTTTCAAAAGCATGTAAAATGCATTTTATTAAAAAATCTGTCTAAAATATCGATATTTTTTATTGTGCAATATCTATGTTTACTACCAGTTATGTAATATCAACATTTTGATTCGATAAACACCTTTGTAGAAATGTGCCTTTTTCACAAAATGTAGCCTATTTTTGTAAACCATCTCGATCAATTGATAGATATTAATAGTTTATAAAGTAAATATTTTCTCCGTTGTCGAATAGAAATCGAGGTATCACTCGTATTTCGGTGGTGATGTGTTGAAAATTGCTTCACTTGAGCTGGGACGTGCTCCCTCGAACTCCATATCTGCAGGACGTACAAGCCTTCACGCCTTCACATTTTCCATTTGTTCAGCTCAACGTACGTACCGAAAGCTGCATTGCGGAGATATTTCGTTTAAAAGCCGAACGCCTTTTAGAAGAATGGAACGAACGAAATTGTCTTCACTTGTCAATAAAACCAGAAAATGTATCACGAATTAAATTCTGCGCACGTTGTCAAAGTAATTCAATAAAGGTTTGAAATGAAATAATAGACAGTCAACATTCAAACAAGAAAAAATGTAACCAATAAAACAAGAGCTTGATAATAATCTGTCAAAAATGTACGTTAATTAAAAGGCAAAGATAATTATTTATATATACATATATATAAAATCAATGAGTTGTAAAATCTTTTAACAGTGGGTAATTGATATGTTGCATGATAAAGTTAACCTACAAAATAATTTTAGAAATCTTTGATTCTATTTCAGTTTTTCGATCATGTGTAAAATCATGTAAAAAGTACGTCATAGCTGTACATTGTCATTTTTATTACACGTTTACAAAGATTAATCTTGTCAATTTCTAATAATATGTTGTACGTAAATGAAAATTGTTCAATGGAAGGACGTTAAGGATATAAGAAGGGTAATGCAAGGTGATCACGTTTATTTTGACTTAGTAAAAAACGAAACGACAAGAGCGTGGTAATGCAGCATGGCTCTGTGACAGTTGATCAAAGGAGAGCTTCTAAAACTCTATTTACTCTATCGAGCTGTTGAGTGTATCAGCTTAAAGTGAAAGCTCTGCAATTTGAAACAAGCTCAAAGTGCAAAACACCATTAACCACTTCCTTCTCGAAGACTTTCCGTTAAACCTTTGGAAANAAAAAAAAACATGTAAATTAATAAGGAAAATGAAAAAAATATTTAAAAATATACGGACACAAATTTTGTCTTAATTTTTTTAAAATTTTTAATTAACATTTCAATATTGCGCATTTCCTCCTATTGCCTAAATTACATCTCGAAGACGCCATTCTTCAAGAAGAGTCTTTTCAAGATCGTGGATTGTATCGGGAAGTGTTGAACGTGCTTTTATTTTCTTTTGAGGTTATCCCATAAGTGTTCGATAGAGTTGAAGACTGGAGAACAATCTGGCCAGGCTAAGACCCTGTTGTTATGCTATTGAAGGCAAATCTGTACTATCCCAAGAAAATGTGGACGGACATTATCGTTCATTAGAATAAGATTATCGCAGATTTTATCGAGGATAGACTACGCATGATGTTGGAAAATTTTATCAGCGAAAGGGGAATAATGTTTGTTGCTCGGTATTGAGTTGACATTGAATTGTGACCTTGAAAGTGTTTTATTATGTTGTGCTTTGTGTGTGGATTTGGAGGGGTTGTAAAATGTTTTGACCATTGTGTATAGTTATTCAGAAATCGTGGAGGTGCGGTCTGGTGTGATGTAGGTTTCAGAAAAACTTAATTCACTAATTTCGTGTCCAATTAATACATTACAATTAATTAAGGTTTTTAGTTGAGATGAAATAAAGTTAATGGCACGAGCGGGATTCGAACCCACGATCTTCGGCTAGATACGCCGCTGCTCTACCACTTGAGCTATCGTGACCTCGATCCACTCGGACATCAACTTCCTATCTCAACCCCACCTTATGAGTTTTCCCTCCTTTTTGCCTTTTGTTTTCCCTGCTTTTTTTCATCTCAACGAAAAACCTTAATTAATTGTTTCAGAAAAACATTTCTTTACCGTGCCAACGTTTCGATCTTTATTGAGATCATCTCCAGAACTTGGGATTCCATATGTATTTGTTAAATGTAAACAATGTTTGTAAATCCCAGGCCCTGAAGATGATCTCAATAAAGATCGAAACGTTGGCACGATAAAGAAAATGTTTTTCTGAAACCTACATCACAATAATTATCGATTAACGGTCACTAATCACCACACACGTTGTGTATGGTGTTATGTGTTTTTTCGAAATTATTGGATTAGTCTAGTCTACCTTCTCTTGGTGACGTAATAGGTATTAAGATGGAGTTCGTCGCGTTAAACTATCAGGTTGTTTAGTCACGTGCATGAATTTGGGCTATGGAGTTCAAGTGGAACGGTTCATGTATCAACTGACTAGTTTCGAATGGAAACGGGATCTGATAAATCATTTAGCTGCACTAGAGATTGTTTTGAGAGTTATTAAATTTGGCCGGCTGTCATACTCGATGGGGGTCGAAATCCAATCAGACGCGTTAATTTTCACAGTTCGTCCTACGAGGCGGACCCGAGATCGTGTGAATGACACACCTGTAAACTGGACGTTTTTCAGATATCGGAGCAGATCGTGACCCTTGGTCGGTTTCATCCTATCGCACAGGTCGCGCGTGTTACCGCAAAACTCGGCGTGCATGTTCCTGAGTGCGACGCAAATCGCCATAACAGCGTCGGACACGAACTGAAGCTGATTTTCGAACGTGGTGTTCTCCCTCGTGAGACGCTCCTTGGTCGTACATGTCTTCTTGTACTTGGTGTTGTACGGAGTGAACGAACTGTTCGGATATTTGCACTGAAAATGATCTTCCCAGAACTCTGAAACAGAAGAAAAAATCATTCGGTACAAACAACGAAACATAAACATAAAAGTGTCAATAAACATTAAATGTGAAAATAATCAAACATTGAACGATCCGCCTATTAATTAATATATATTTATTTGTTTATATTATTATAATTAATAATGTTTTTTAAAACGTAACATACGTATACATTCTATTAAAACATATCTCTTATTCCGAATAAAGTCATTTTTGAAAAGAGAAGCAGTAAACGATAAATAGATAGATATGGTTGAGTGTGAGAAAAGATAGAGAGAGAACAAAAGAGAGAGAGATAGAGACAGAGAGAGCCAAAGAGAAAAAGGGCGAGCGAGCGAGCGAGCGAGAGAGAGAGAGAGAGAGAGAGAGAGAGAGTGAGTGAGAGAGAGTGAGAGGTGGGGAGAGAGAGAGAGAGAGAGAGAGATAGATAAGTAGGGAGAGAGAGAGAGAGAAAAAAGAAAGGAAGAAAGAAAGAAAGAGAGAGAGAAAAGAAAGAAAGAAACAGAGAGAGAGAGTGAGAGAGAGAGATAGAAAGAGAGAGAAAAAAGAAAGGATGAAAGGAAGAAAGAAGGAGAGAGAGAAAAAAAGAAAGGAAGAAAGGAAGAAAGAAAGAAAGAGAGAGAGAAAAGAAAGAAAGAAACAGAGAGAGTGAGAGAGAGAGAGATAGAAAGAGAGAGAAAAAAGAAAGGATGAAAGGAAGAAAGAAGGAGAGAGAGAAAAAAGAAAGGAAGAAAGGAAGAAAGAAAGAAAGAGAGAGAGAGAAAAGAAAGAAAGAAACAGAGAGAGGAGAGAGAGAGAGAGAGAGAGAGAGAGAGAGAGAGAGAGAGAGAGAGGGAGAGAGAGAGAGAGAGTGAGCAAAACAAAACTTAGATTATAACTTTAGATAAATTAAATGCATAAATTGAAGAAAAAAATCCCAACCTTGTTTTTTTTTATACTACATGTATTTTTATCTTTATTCAAATTTACTATTATTTAAACCAAATTAAACGAGATCAGAAATTCAGTTCATGAGTTTTATTTAAAAAAAAAATTTAATTATGTTGGTTTGAAAAGAATTCACCCAGACATTGTATAATAATAGATAGAAATATAAACAATAAAAAAATATAAACTTACAATTTATTATCTGGTTTTACTTTTAGTGCGTTATCAAACGTATGTTGTAATTGATATGACGATAAAAATATATATTGTTTTAAATAATACGACATGCAGGAACTAAAAGACGAGAATTCTAAAGTCACTTCGGACTTTATATAAATTGTTAAAGAACTTCACACGGACCAACAAAAAACAAACTAACAGTTTATAAGTCACTACTGAAACCGATTTCGACATAAGGATTAGAATTGTGGCGCACTGCTAACCTTTAAACATCCAAAGTTTTCAGAAACTTTGTGAAAGCTCCCTACTACGTTCCCAACAACACCCAACAAAATGACCTCCAAATACCCTAGTTAAAAACTTAATTCCCAACAAACTTTCCACATTCCATGAAAAACTATCCTCACGTCCTATTCTATTATCCCAACGCATGTCCAACATTACCCACTCAGCCAGTAAGGCTACTGAAGTGACCTCCATAGAAATAATATATACAGCGTGTCAGGCTATTCCCGTCACAATGTGCAAGTGAATTTTTTTTCTTGTTTTTAGTTACTACCAATTACGGGTTTTGTCAACTTCTCGAAGCTCATGAACTCTTCATTTTTGGGAAAATGCAAAACATTAAAGCTTTCAATTTATTTTATGAAGAGACCCTTCTAGAACTTTCGATTTAATTTTTGGTAACAAAACAATCACTAAAAACTGCTAAATTTAAAGTTTGGAAAAACTAAATTGTCAATGTCGTTAGCAAAATTCAATGAGAGTTTGACAAATTCCAAGAAAACTTCTTTATGTAATAAGATTTCTAGCTGTATAACTTTTTATTTAATTACATCGAACCAAAGTTAGAAATTTTATGCTAAATGGGGAAACAAGTGGTGACGGTGTGAAAAGTGGAATGGGGTTAATCTAGTAATCCAACTTTTAACCTGAGCACTGTTTATTTCCCAACTAAAATTTAATGAAAAGCACAAGTAGAAAGAGAAATGAAGCAAAATTGATAAAAAAGAAACAATAAACATAATGAACAAACAAATTACTTCTACATTTTTCTTTTGTCTTTTTGGTGAAGATATTTTGTCCAATTTATCTGCTCTGTTGTTCACTAAGTTCATTATCTCTTTTTTATGTGTTTTGCTTCATTTGTCTGTCTATTTATGTTTGTCTATTAAGTTAAAGTTGGGAAATAAATTGTGTTCAGGAAAAATTCAGGAGCTAGGAGCGTATTTATGACGAGAACGTAGTTGGTAGAAAGAAACGTAAAATGTTGAATATCTGTGAAAGGATTGAAAATCAACCCATGATTCGTATGAACTTTTTGATCACTCTAAAGGTGTGAAATTCACTGCAAAATTCGAGACGCGAGTAGCCTCACGCTCTGTTTATCTAGTAACTAACTAATCACAACTGTCGGAGAGGAAAGATGGTTGCTGGCTCCCCTCAGTATATATGCAAACGATAAATAATATTGTATTTCATTACATAATCTATATAATTTGTACAGATGGTAATAAAATGTTTGAAATGAACAACAAAATACGAGTGCTCCGCTTTTTGTCTTTCTCAGCGTATACTTGTTATAATTATTATGCATATTTTAATTTTAATATTGTATATAAATTATTATGTGTGGTGTTTAGATCACGTTTCGATCTTCATTCAGATCACCTTCAGGCCTCAAAGTGTTTGTTTTCCGTGTAGATGTGTCATTCTTGTTTGTCATGTTGACAGACAAGTTCACACTTCCTACATGTATTTGTATGATTTAAACTATGTTTATAAATCCCAGTCCCTGAAGATGATCTCAGTAAAGATCGAACGGCACGATAAAGAAAATGTTTTTCCAAACTTACGTCACACCAGACCGCATCTCACGATATTCATTTAAATTAATAAATTACAATTAAATTAAACACAAAAACAAACAATTTGCTATTTCTTACTTGTCATTTACTGCGCTTTTTACAAAAAAATTTCTAAATAATTAATAATTTTTCAAATTTGAAAACTCATAAATCTGTTTTAATTTGGTTGATTAGGCGCGGTTGCAAATTGCCATGGAAAAATATCGTCTTTTCTTCTTCTCAATATTTTAATGGTTTTAATATGTCAATATTGTTTGGACTAGGTTTCAATTTGTGTGAAATATGAGACTAATCCTACAAACAACGAGAATCACCGACTTCTTTCGGCAATCTTGGGCCAGAACTTGATCTTATCCGATCCACCAGCAAAGTTAGGCTCGAGGGGCTATCAATAACTAAGTCTTTTAAACCCCTAACCCAAGTAGTTTTTAAACCTTGACACACTCCTTTTTTCTATGCATACGATCTTTCCTTTCTATGTACAAACGAAAATAAAAAATAATAAATAAAATTCCTCTAATTTTGAGTCTACCTCAGGTTGCCGCTGGGATTTTATATTGAACCTCTTCTGTTTTGTTTTTATAGAAAAGATATAATATCAGTTTTGATAATATCAAATTTCTACTTTACACAATTGATCCATAATTTTAGAATAGTTGAACATTTGTTGAAAACAGACTGAAAAAAAAAAGTTTTAAGATACAATGATTCTCTTAAATTGAACATTTGAACGTGCCAAATGCAATGTAACTAGTTTTTTCAAGGGTAATAAAAAAATAAGTTTATTGCACAAAATTAATGGTACCCTTTTATATAGAGCCAATAGCTTCAGCTTTATATTCTGTTTTACACAACTCTCATTTGTAAATGATAATGCTGTCATTAAGAAAAAGTCACTAAAAAGATTAAGTTTTATTAATATAAGTACCAAGCAGTTTAGTAATATGCATTCAATAAAAATCGTTTTTGCTTTCTTTCTTAATTTCTATCATTCAGTCTCATTATTATGAATCTCATGTATTCAGAAAGTTCTGTATAACTTCTTAAAACTCATTCCATACATATAGAATCGGTTGAAATCAAATATAAATACCTTTTCACACTACACAATTTAACTTCTATTTCATATAGACGAAAGCTTCAAATAATCATAAATTATTATGTAAAATATCGTTGAACAGTGGCGCTTCTACAACTTGAGCTATCGGGACTTCTCTCAAGTAGGAGAAACACTAATCGGAGGTCTTGATTTTGAGTCCCGCTCGCGTCACAAATTTTCAAATCAACCATACTTTGTATAATTATTAAAATAATTACTTTCGTTAAGTGGACCAACTAATAAGAGGTTGTATGTAAAGAAGAGACTATAGAGTTACATTTTTATATTCTCATGATTGAAAAGAAGAAGTGTAAAATATAAAAAAAAATCCATTTATATACATTGGATCAATCGTAATAAAGAAAACATTCTATATGTTTATTTGGAGGTCGGGAGATGCGGTCTGGTGCGACGTAGGTTTTCGAAAGAATATTTTCTTTATCGTGCCAATCGTTTCGATCTTTATTGAGATCATCTTCAGGGCTGAAAGTGTTTGTTTTTCGTGTAGATGTGACATTCTTGTCTGACGTATTGAGAGTGCCATTCTATATGTATTATTTCTGAGACAATTTTATTTATGTGGTAAATAAATATAAAGTACGGAAAAAATTTTGCAGAAATGATGAAAAAAGTTATTCTTTAGCACCGTAATTACGTTTAAAAAACAAATCTATATCAATTTAACAAAATATATATATATAATAGTGAAGACGAATTGAAGTAACGATTAACTAAGGATGTGCCCTCATTAATCGTCTCCTCGTTGAAAATTTTATTTGAGCTAATCAAAAGGCTCCCCGGATTAAATCAGGGCGTTTGAATTAAATGCAGGCTTTACTAGCGGGCATGCATTATTTATTGTACAACGTGGGACGTTGATTAAATGTAAAATGCATCGCAGATAAAACACGCCGCGACCTC